TGCAGGCCACTTCCAACCTTCTAGACAGATGCAAGTCATGTCTAACCTTCTGTGCAGCTGCAGGTCACATCCAACCTTCTGTACTGCTTGAGGCCATGTCTGACCTTTAGGACAGCTGCAAGCCAGGTCTGACCTTCTGGGCAGCAGCAGCTGCCATTACTGGCCGCCTGGACTGCTGCAGGCCACATCTGACCTTCAGGAGTTCTAATCCCTGTCCAGGGAGCCCTCAGCCTGTCTTTTTCCGTACTGTTACACCTGTACTCCATGATGGTCCTTCCCCAGAATTTGAGCTCCCTTTGTAGCTCCATTTGGTGGGGAGTTCATTTGGACAATGTATCTCCTCAAAGCAGATGATCTGCCGCGGTGTCTGTCTTATTCATGTGTAAGATCAAAAAGATTTAAACCAGCCTAGTGCTTTTCCTTCTAAAAGATTATGATCCCTTGAGTCAAATGCAGCACTGAGATCTAATAGAACAATTACAGATACAAGTCCATCATCTGAGGCTAAGAAAATATCATTAGTGACTTTCGCCAGAGATGTTTCAGTGTTATGATGAGCTCTAAAAGGCTAGACCTTTGCATCAGAGATGTCTTCAGCTGTGCCAGCTCTCACCCACAAACCTCTATCTCGGCGTGAGAGCTGCAGGATGCCCCTCCCCAATTGAGCTGTGCTGCAATCTGACCGCTCTTAAAAGTTTCATAAGTGACATAATAGGTTAAGATTCTACGAAGTCTGTACTTTGGTCTGTTGAACCAGACCCTTCCACTTTTGCACATGGTGGGACAGCAACAAAGATTAAGTAATATTGCCTAAATAATCCTAGGATAATTATCATTGATAATGTGTACATTTATTACACCTTTATATTAACTACCTGTTGAGTGTCAGAACTGATGTTTTCCACAACAGTTTCTCTAATTAAGACAGTTCCTCTGTCCAGATATACATTTATAATCTTCATTCTGTACGCGGCAAAGATTTGGAAATGGAATGAGGGCGGTGTCCTTCAGCTAAGAACAAAGTGTAATATTTTCATAAGTCTCTGGCCTTTTATGTCTACTCATCTGCTAACATGTATGATGTAATGATGTGATGATGTGGCAGACTGGAGATGTATAAAATGCCTTCTTAACTGTTATTCGTGGCCACTTCCTGAGAGGTGAGCCAGGTGGTGAGCAGCTGCCTTTTGTAAATTTTAAGCAACTGCTCAGATCTGACTAAAATTTCAAGTCCTATGAGAATCTGATGTCATGTCTCATGGTTATTTAATACATACATGGTTATTTAATACATAATAAAAGTTATGAAGTGTTATTTAAAGAGTTTTTCCTGAGTGATCTCTTTTCAGGAAAAAGAACCTGAGAGATAGAGCTTCAAGGTGCATACACAGAGCCTATCTTTAAATAATCCTAGGGGGTATTTTTTCCTGAGCAAGGAGAATTGGAAGTTTCATGTTGATTGGTGTTGTCAAGCTCTATAAAATAGGATCCAGTATTTGAGGTAGACAAAAAGAAAGATTTCTCAAAAAAACCTTTACTGGAAAACAGAACCGAAGTGAACAGGGTGGGCTAAGGCAGGGACCTCAGCAGGAGGAGACAACAGGTTAGTGACCACGCCTATCTGGAAAAAAATTAAAACGAACATGTGAGTAACTAACCTGGTCTTATAGTTCAGTCCAATCCCAGAGGGTGAAGTTGATTCCAGCCGGCCAGCTGACAACGGGGCACAGCGGTCGCCACACAGAGGGTCCCAGACGCTGATGGGTGGTCGGAGGACAGACAGATTAGGACCAAGCAGACAAATGTAGGCAGGATAATCCAGAGGGTGAAGGCAAAGCTGGTGTCTGTAATGTGCTAATTTGTCAGAGATTCATAATACAGGGTCCACAGGAACCCACAAAACTGCCCCAAATCTACAACTTTAGACCGGTAAAGCTCTTGCTTCAGCAGTAGCTGATTTTCAATATTTTTTGCTGTAAGATTTGCTCTCTTTGCTGTGAAGAGCAACCCGGCTGAACTAAAAAGCCTCTAACAGGCAGCTGAGGCTGGAAGGCCTGTGTTGAGTTCAGAGACAGCTTCTTAATGTTTAGGAAGGAGTTCAGCAGGTCCATGCTGAACCTGAAGTTCACAGAACACCAGAGAGAAATGGGCGAAGGAACCAGATGAGTGCAAGAAGGAGGAACTTCAGGTCCATGCTGAAACCATCATAACATTCTATTTCATTTATCGCCACATTAAGAAAACATCTATACCTGTAATGCTTGCATTCCCAACTCAATTATACTTTTGATACTCTGAACTAGCTAATTCTAAGCAACTGCTAACAAGCCAAGAGCTCGCTTATACATAAATAATAAAAGAAACCGTTTGGGATGCCGGAGACAAAAACACATGCGCTAACTTACCGCCACCTGTTTTCGTGAATTGGATGTTGATGTTTTAAAAGCGGAAAGCACCGTTTTGCTAGGCAGGCACATGTTGCACTGCATTATCACATTGTTCCCTTTTGTGCATTTGAAAACAAATAATCCATCCAAATATGGCCAAGGGTTTTCCTGGCTTTCGTCTCCAGAATGTGTTTCCTCTTCGGGCCTTTCTTCATCCATACTCTCTACGTTGTGATTAGCAACTGCCATCTCTCAAAGCGCAGTACTGGATTATGAGACAATACAAAGGGTAATTCTAAGGCAGGGCCACGCATTAAGTTTCGGTTCTGTGACACAGGGGTTTAAATTTCCAGCCACATTTAATTTTTTCACCATCATTATATTTTTTATTTTTTACTCAGTAACGTGAGGGGATTTTAAATGTAGCGAATGAAACTACTTAGGTCAAAATTTACTCGAGTACAAGTAAAAATTACATACACTATATTGCCAAAAGTATTTGCTCACCTGCCTTGACTCACATATGAGCTTAAGTGACATCCCGTTCCTAATCCATAGGGTTCAATATGATGTCGGTCCACCCTTTGCAGCTAGAACAGCTTCAACTCTTCTGGGAAGGCTGTCCACAGGGTTTAGGAGTGTGTTTATGGGAATTTTTGACCATTCTTCCAGAAGCGCATTTGTGAGGTCGCACACTGATGTTGGACGAGAAGGCCTGGCTCTCAGTCTCCGCTCTAATTCATCCCAAAGGTGTTCTATCGGGTTGAGGTCAGGACTCTGTGCAGGCCAGTCAAGTTCATCCACACCAGACTCTGTCATCCATGTCTTTATGGACCTTGCTTTGTGCACTGGTGCACAGTCATGTTGGAAGAGGAAGGGGCCAGCTCCAAACTGTTCCCACAAAGTTGGGAGCATGGAATTGTCCAAAATGTCTTGGTATGCTGAAGCATTCAGAGTTCCTTTCACTGGAACTAAGGGGCCAAGCCCAGCTCCTGAAAAACAACCCCACACCATAATCCCCCCTCCACCAAACTTTACACTTGGCACAATGCAGTCAGACAAGTACCGTTCTCCTGGCAACCGCCAAACCCAGACCCGTCCATCAGATTGCCAGATGGAGAAGCGCGATTCGTCACTCCAGAGAACGCGTCTCCACTGCTCTAGAGTCCAGTGGCGGCGTGCTTTACACCACCGCATCCGACGCTTTGCATTGCACTTGGTGATGTATGGCTTGGATGCAGCTGCTCGACCATGGAAACCCATTCCATGAAGCTCTCTGCGCACTGTTCTTGAGCTAATCTGAAGGCCACATGAAGTTTGGAGGTCTGTAGTGATTGACTCTGCAGAAAGTTGGCGACCTCTTCGCACTATGCGCGTCAGCATCCGCTGACCCCGCTCCGTCAGTTTACGTGGCCTACCACTTCGTGGCTGAGTTGCTGTCGTTCCCAAACACTTCCATTTTCTTATAATACAGCTGACAGTTGACTGTGGAATATTTAGGAGCGAGGAAATTTCACGACTGGATTTGTTGCACAGGTGGCATCCTATCACAGTTCCACGCTGGAATTCACTGAGCTCCTGAGAGCGACCCATTCTTTCACAAATGTTTGTAAAAACAGTCTGCATGCCTAGGTGCTTGAATTTATACACCTGTGGCCATGGAAGTGATTGGAACACCTGATTCCAATAATTTGGATGGGTGAGCAAATACTTTTGGCAATATAGTGTATTTCAAAAACTACTCAGAAAATTACTCATATAAAGTACACAATTACAGTAATGTGAGTAAATGTCATTCGTTACTTTCTATCCCTGGACTGATTCCATGTGTTCATTTCATTGTGTGGATGATTGCTGATTAACTGACTGCTGTTTTTGCAGGCTTATTGAAATTTAGTCCCTCCCCCTGTTTGCTGTGAGGAATGGTTGTTCCTGTCAGGGTTTGGTTGAGGTTTTGAGGACCCAAATGCAGAGGCAGGGAGGCAGAGGTGAGTTCTTGTAGTTTTAACAAAGTTATCACAGGTAACAGAGACAGGAATCCAAAAATCCTACTTAAAAATGCAAAACAAACCAGAACCATGGAATCGTTAGGGAAAACATGCAAGAGGAGCCGGGGAAAGATGAGGAACCAGCACTGAGGATCTGCAGAGGGAGAGTTTATATGGGAGACCGAACAAAGAGAGGACTAATGAGCTGATTGGGAGCGGGTGTGAAGAGAGGCTTCTAGAAGGAACTAGGGAAAAGGAGACCAATACAAGAAGGCAACTACAAGTTTCTAAAAAGACTGTGCCGTGCTGTACAGTACCATGTTAGTTTATCTTTAGTATAAAAACAAAGTGCAGAAATAAAGAAGTTGTCCTTATTTACTCTTGTGAAAAAAATTTTGATGCTTACAGAATATATAAATCTTGAATTAAAAATATGTCTAGGATATGCAGATACTTACCACAAGAATTTTGCTGAGACCACACACACACACACACACACACACACACACACACACACACACACACACACACACACACACACACACACACACACACACACACACACACACACACACACACACACACACACCAGGTTAAAAATAGATCCTAATATTTATAAGGAATAAACTACTCAATAGTATGCTGAAGAAAAAAATTTGCAAAGGTAAGTTTTATTAAGGAACAAAGAGGGACAATTATTATTTTTTTCTCATTTCAATCAAACAAAAAGTTAAATGCTTCAAGTTGAATGCATTAAATTCAAAATTAGTCTAATGCTGATTTCAAGGTTGCATAACCTCTTTAATCCAATCCATATATTCAGGTATCTTGGTGTATTTGGTCAGATCTTCCAGCTGTCCTGAGATCACTCCATAGGCCTTTCCATTCTCGCAGACTAATGGACCACCATTATCTCCCTGAAAGCACATACAGAGCACGTGATGAGTGTTAAAATGAAACAGATAGATTGTTTGTATGACATAGACTAAAAAATAAATAAGATGAGGAAACAGAAATTAATATTCCTACCTCAGCTGGTCCCTTCTTCCCTTTGGAACAGAAATCTTTTTCCTCGGGACACATTTCATCGTCAGTGAGAGTCACATTGACCTCCATGAGTTTTGAAGAAATTTTATTGTATTCTGTCCTTCCCCAGCCAATGACTAGACACATTTTCGGAGAGTTGTCAGCCTTGTCTGCCATTGCAATTGGGTTTATAATTTCTTTAGCAGCTCTCTTGGACAACTAAATAAAAATGGAACAAACATTAGACTAGAATCCCAATAAGAATAAAAATAATAATAAAAAAAAAAATACTGTAAATAGTTAAAATATTGATATATATTCTGCCATTCAAATAAGTCAATATAAATTTTTAAAACTACATTACCTTCAATAGCATGATGTCATTTGTGAGAGTTTCCTCTTTGTAATCCTTATGTGGAAAATGTTCTTTAACAGATGAACATTTCATCCGTTTGTCATCAAGACTGTTCATCCCAAAACAGACATTATAGGACCTAAAAAGAGAAAGTAAGGAAGACAATTGTAAATCTTAACTAATATTTATTGCAACATAATTTGGGTATAGATATATATATTACGTTTAACTGACTCGGCCTTGCAGTGGGCGGCAGTCATTACAAAGTCTTCACTCACAAGGAATCCACCACAGGTAAAATTCCCTTTTTCTTCATCATAGCCTTCCACATGCACCATGTATAGTCTGCTGTGTTCTGCACTCTTATGGACTACAATGATTCTTCCTGCATGAGCTGTTTGACATTTAAAGTGGATAGAGTCCAGGACAGAGTGGCCATCGATTACAGCAGTGACTGTGAACATAATTCAAAATAGTTACATCTATACGGAAATGTTAACCTACATATGACCAGAGTTGCATAACTCAACAGAAAGTAGTTTCAAGATTACCTAAACAGTGAGAAATTGTCTTTGGTTTAGTGTATTATAACCTATGAAGTTTAAAAGGCACAGCGTTGTTTACATTTACTCACTAACAACTTTCTATAGTGGGTATTTGTATGAAAACAACATATTCTATCATTTATCAGTTTTCCTTATTATAATTCACTATTGTTGTGATGATTGACATCCGAACAGTGTTATGACATTTTAAAACTAGCATCAGATGAATCAAAAAGAGGTTATACATTAGATAAATATATGCATAGGTTTGATGCTAGCATAAAATACACTCACCTTGACTATTTAAAGCAAGCACAAGTACCACCAATACCAAGTTGCAGTATATGAACATGATGATTTTGCAATCTGAGCTGTCGGGAGGGCAGCTCAACCCGGAGCTCCATGGAACACGTTAATGATACAGAGCGTCTACGCCCCGCTGCCGCGCTTTAACGCAGCCACTCTAGTCAATTGCTGAGTTCGAATTCAGCGACTTCGTTTGGCGGCCGATTACGTCATAGCGTGGCTCCTTGACGTGTTTGGATTGGAAGACTCCTTGTTTTGCAGCCAACAAATGCAGCCTTCTTTTTGCCCATTTTGAAGGATGGGTCCGGTGTATTCTCCATAGGCTAGGATATTCTTTGATTGATTGCAAGTCCAAGCAAGCTGGCTGATCGGTGCTCACAGGAAAAAGGCGCCAAAGAGTGGTAAATATTTTAAGCATGAAAGCTGAAGAAGGCTGCACCTGTTTGAATCCATAGTCAATCTCTTCGGGCCTCCTTATTTTCACGACCCTCGAAGGACCCAGTCCAGGTAGACTGAGTTCTTTAAGGATGCAGCTGCTGAAATCAAATACACCCAATGAGGTTGGTTCCAATCGGTGCACCACGGACAGTTCCTAAAGCTTCCCAAAGGCGTGGTCCGCTGGAAACTGTCATGTTGGGGTCTAAGCGTCTAACCCACATGCAGAATCACTCTTGAGACAGCGGAAAAGTTAAATGGTTTATTTACAGAGTTACAATAAATTGTGCACAGGTTCTTGGCTCGTCAGACTGGTCACGGGAGGGAAGCCACTAGAGGAGGACAGAACAGTTAGAGTGGATCCAGGAAACTTGCAGTTTACAGGTGACTTGGATTAATACCTGCTCAGAGGGGAATCTGATCAGCAGGGGGGGGGGGGACCTTGTGGGTCCAGAGGCTAGTCGGCAGGCTGAGGGCTGAGGCAGGCAGGTTCCAGACAGTGATTGTTTTCTCCAGGATGACTGATATCCAGATAAGTCAGGATCTGAGAGGCAGAAGAACACAGGGTCAGATTTGTTCACAAAATCAGAGAAACAGATCAGAGAAGCTGGCTCAGGTTTTGCTGGTACCATTACTGGCAAAAACTCTGGCAGGGAAGCCTCCAGATCCCAACAGAAACTTCCCTAAAATACATGGCTGGTCTATTTTTCATGTTGACGCTTCCAGTCCTCATCAATCTGGTACAAAGCAATGTGGGGTTTCAATGTTAAACACTAACTACATGTGCAGGTTGTGGATCGCATTTTACTCTAAAACATCTAAAACAACTGATATTAGTGTAGCTGAAGGGCAATAAAAGCAAGAATAAAGGATATCCCGATAACTTGATCCATTTTTTATCAATCCGATAACATTTGACCGCGTAAGACACTACAGTTGTTCACTGCAAACTTACAATGCACTTGATTCTGTGCACAATGATGACATGCAATTTAAGCCCGAGATCACACAACCAACTTTTGGTACCAACTGTTACATTCCTCCCCATCATTTTGCGACCCGATGATGTACCAAAAAACAGAACAGAACACAGTACAGGGCTGCCTATAAGGAAGTGGGAATGCTGTCCTGCAGTTTTTACAAAGCTGACCTCAAAGGCTCAAGAATGATGATCGTATCCATTTTCTTCAGTGATACCATCATCATAATTCCCAACATGTGATAGAATCTCAGGTTCAGCCAAATCCAATATTCCATCTCCCACCCTATCATGAATCGGTACCACTCCCAAATCCTTCTCTTTACATCCCTCCGTCTTATTATTTTTAGGGAAGTTTCTATGCTCTGCCCTGTAGGCCTAATGGACGGGTCCTTCTTCACCCACAGGTGAAAAAGAATACATTAGCCTGCAATGAGGAGGTGGGCGAACTACTTGATAAGGGATGGGGTCATAAAAGTCCAGAATTTTTCTGTGATAATACAGAATGTTTTTTTTTTTGTGCACACCAGGTCCCTTTCCTGAAAATCTGGGGCAACATCTACATTCTGATTTTTCTGGGACCTTCTATTCTCTACTTTTTGGTGTGCCATGACATAGGCAGTATTTAGTGATTTTCAGTGCTCCCCAAAAGACAGGTCAAGATTTCCTACCAAACATCAAGAAGCAGGGTGTGATGCTAGTAGATTGATGGATCTTTCACAAGTTTTACACCACTTTTCCACATCGGAGTACATATTAGGCCATTGTAATGTGAGCAAATTTGCTGGAATGTCCACTCGACCCTCTGGTGACCATGAGGGGAGGAAGCCTTCCTGCAAACACTGAGGTAGCACAAACTGGTCAACCTCAATCTGCCCATCAGAAGTGTAAATGTAAAGATAAAGGATCAATTCTCACTACCTAAGCCAATTCCACTGCTGAACCAACTCCCTGGGAGCCTTATCAAGCCCATCTCCCTCTTTAGCATCAGGTATCCTACCCTTCACCTAAAATTGCATGATAGAACCAATGATACTATTGTCATGCTGCAATGTGAAGAAGACAACACTTGACAGACCTGGTAACGCACTCATCTCTTCCTGTACTCCAGAAAAACTATAATCTAACCCGAAGCCAGTCCCTGCTCCTCTGTATGGGACATGTTGAAGGCAATTCTTCTGCATTAGCATTTTGAGCAGTCAGATCAATACCTCCCAGTTCAGAAACCCACCTCTGTTCTTTTGCTCCAATGTCCAATTGTCATGATGAGTTTGTATGGCTGTAGTCAGATGACTCAAAGGTTGTCAATGTAACTATTTATGTTCCGCTTTGTGGGCTTCAGACTTCGACTTGCAAACGCCATATGGTGCAATTTACTGACAAGATCTTGAGCAAATCATGCTTCTAACTCTGCATGACTTGCATCTACTTCCAAAACAAATATCTTCTACAAGTTTGCATAGGCAAGCACAGGAGTTGTTACTAATGCATCTTTGTGCTTGTAAAAGCTTCGCTCACATTAATCATCCCAGAAACCACCCAAAGGCTTCTTTGAGATCTTTTCTTTTTACTCAGGAGGAACCAGCCTTGCATCAAGATGGTTAAAAGGTGAAGCCATGTTTGAAAAACCACAAACGAACCTCTGTTAAAAACCAGAGCATAGGAATGGAGCGGGGCGCTGTACAATTCCCACCCGCTCAGGAGGATGTTCGCTCATTCACATCCACTCAAAGTTGCACCACGACGTTCCACTTAAAATCTGTGCTCACCTTAAAAAAAAAGGAAAGAAGAGCTGCTGGAAGAACGGAAAAAACTTCCCAAAATAAACACTTCAAAGAACCGTAGAGGGAGAGGGGGACTTTGCTGCTGCAGTGAGTAAAGATTTTCACCAGGAGATGAATGGAGAGAGCGTGGGTGAGGAGGGGGGCTGTGAAGCTCAAGGTAGCCTGATGGCTTGTTGCGCCAATATACTAAAGTATACCCATGTCTAGTGAAGGTGAGGAATGATGAAGTTTGTATGTATGATGCATGTTTTGGGTTGGTTATCTACGGTGGGGTGGGTAAGTTGGGGCGATAAGTATCTCCCTAAAATGAGGTTTTGGAACCTAGGATGTGGTGGTGCGCTGTCATCAATGGTTCCACTCAAGGTGCACAGTCAGTATTTTCCCAGGTGTGATGTGTAATCATATACTACTGAGAATTGCATAATTGTATCTTCTTGGCCGATTTATGGAACTGTCGCCGTATCCTGAACCTTTATCACGTGTTGTGCTTTATATGGGGCCAACCCAGATAATGTTGCTTACGGGCCTATTGTTGTGACAGTCACTGCTGCTGCATAATGTCCACACTTGCACTTAACCAGCCAGACACCGACTCACACATACTATGTATACAACATAAGCTTAAGTGTTGTAAAAAGCTCAACAGTAAAATATAGAGGCAGACTATGGAGGACCAACTCTGCCATATTAAAAAATAAATAGATAAATAAATAAATGCTCAATAGATAAATAAGCATACAATTAATTGCCCCAAAAATACAATAAACTAATAAGTGTAGGTAGAAATTAAATTATACAGTGTGACATAAATGTAATAATTACCTTCTTTATTTATTTATTGTCCATTATAATGTTCAACTTTATTTATTACTTCTTTTTTTAAGTATTTATTTATGTCCATGATATCATATTTTTGTCTGTTTTATTCTTCCTTTGTATTTTTTACCGTATATATTTCCTCAATGCTATTTATTTCTGCCTGTCATTTTTACATTTCTGTATTCATTTTTGCCTACATAGCAGGCAGGCAAGTTCTTATAGAATGAATACATTAAAACTCAACGATGTGTTAGCATTCACTGCGAGTATAGGTGGCATATGGGCAATGAAATGGAATAATTTAAACAGATGCAAAACCCCATCATGCAACACATTTTTGCAAAATATCCGAACATAAATTCACCAAATATAAGAGGAACATCATAGCCTGGTTTAAAAAAAGCATTTTAGTTTTATTATAGTTTTGTTTGTTGCAAGGATTTTACAGTTTGAAGAAATAGAAAATTATACCATATGCCAACAGTGTGCATGACAAGGATGGGCTATATATATACTGCATGCATCATTTAGGTAGATAACATTGTATTACTTCTTGAGCTCCTTGAGTTAATTACTGACCCAGATAAGGGCTTCGGCCGGAGAGTAAGTGTTAGGGTCGGTATGATTTAGGGAGGGCCGAAATTACGACCATATCACAGATTACTAGTCCGAGCCTGTATACCGTATATACACTACTCTGTTTTCTGTTGAAAGGTAGAAAGAAAACCAAAAAGTTTTTGCAAATTTTAGAGCACATACTGTTCTGTCTCTTATATGCCTTGTTGCAGAGTCTGTGCACCGCAAAACCTTCATGTGATCAGAATCTCTCTGTTAATCTTTCTTAAAGCCACACACATATCATTTCCCACAAAAAATTAACTAAACCCAGACTTTCACAAGTTAAAAAAAGCAAACAAAACATTTAACATAAGGCAGGTGATAAAGACTTCAAAAGCATTTAAAAAACAAGCTAAAAACCAGGACTAGAAAATCTCATCTACCTTCAATAACTAAGGACCGAACTGTACCAAGTAAAAAAGTAGTGTCAGTCG